AAATGAACACTTTTTTATTTTGTCCAAACTAATAGTCATGGAAATAAAAATGCTAGAAAGTTAATTTTCGTGTTCCGTTACATGTGTGAGCCACTGTATATTACAACATACGACTTTGATTTTCAGGAGAAGATATCGAATTGAGAAATGAAAAGCTCACGAACTTTTTTTGCATTTATATTTATTTTATTAATTAATTTTGTTATTCTATTCACGAATCTCGATAATTCTCAGATATTTGACTCTCGATATTAATATTATTATACCTTTAGAAATATCAAATTTTTATTTAAGCGTCCCAAAGTATGCCAAAACGCAACAATAAATAATATAAAAGTTATATTTATTTGTTTCTTTGATTGTCTAGCTATTCAAAAACTGTAAACAAACAGCACATTGTCCAAATATATTTTTGTCTATTTGTTTAAATATATATTTTTTGGGTCTACCACGACATCTCGAAATTCAAAATTCTGACAGTCCATCATCCCAACATTCAAGATCCCGACAGTTCAAGATCCCGACAGTTCAAGATCCCGAATGGTTCACAATAGTCAATTACATAATATTCTCGCCTTATGATTAGTACATTTCAAGAAAATTCAGCTTCCAACCTCACAACTTGGAGTCAGGAGCTCAGGAATATCGCGGAATGTACAAATTACAATATTTGTGAGTTTTCAATATTTGACGCGCGTATCTCTCGATTATTTGACGCATAAATCTTTTTGATGCTTTTTTTATCATAAACCTCCTATTACTAAAATAATGGGATTTGTGAAGTTATACCATCAAAAAACTGTCGGGATCTTGAACCATTCGGGATTTTGACTGTCGGGATTTTGAACTGTCAGGATGTTGGGGGTTCCATATTTTTTATATCATATTTTACAATTTTTTAAAATTAGACATATTGATTTATGTTTGACATTGAATTTGCTTTTAGATACATACGTATATCGCATTCCAAAATATGAAGAGAACATTTGAACAGTCTTCGACTTAAACTATCTTTCTTTTATAGTGGCACAAATTATTAATCAAAAATTTAGTCATCACATCAAACTGCAAATATTAATATTTAACGGTTCCAAATACAAATTTTGTCATTTAAATATCATTTACATACACTAGTCTAAATGTAACGGTAAACAATTAACCTTTAGCAGTTAATATTGATTCTTTAGTCACCTTCAGGATTATGATATCCGAAGTTTTTATGCTCTGAAAAATAAACAAAATAATTTATTATTTAACAAAAAATTAAGTTAGTTTCGATAAAAAAATTTGTTTTATGAAATGGTATCGGTATTAAAAAGTGATTATTTACCTTCATTTACTTCACTTGGAACATAAATACTGTTACTTCTGGTTTTGATACCAATATCTATACCATATCCTGTAATCACATATGCTAGAGTTGTATAAAAATAAATCTTTTTAATTATTGACTTCTGATATAGTATGTTTGAAAAAAATAGTATTAAATAGTAAGTTTACCTTCATTGTGATATGGAGCATACAAACTAATACTCGTAGAGCCTAAAAATTCGATCGGAATTTTAACTAATAGAAATATCGATACCGTATGACATAAATTTAGAATGACATGTATCTGTATCATTTGGAATTAAAATTAATTTTGTAGTAAAAATTCGACTAGTGTAAACTGAATTTTTTGTTCTCTGTTCGTAGCTGTAAGAATGCTTTTTTGATATTTAATTTTATTAAATCTCTGCCTTTCTAGTTTAAGACATTCAGTAATTTCTTTATGTGTTTTAAAATATTCTAAAGAGCTGTAGTGCTGAAATGCAAAGTATTCGGCATCCACTCCTCATCGATATAATCGATATAGTCGATAGATCTAATAAAGTGGTAAAGTTCCAAGGCAGTAGGTCTGTTTTCTGGGATAGGACCCTAACATTTTTCAATAATAAATTTGCACCACCCAAGAACATTATTTGGTAACTTAGGTCGTTCTCGTTATAGATGTCGTATACAAGATATATGTCATGACTTCGCTCACCAAATGGCCGTTCACCTGTAACAATTTCGTACATAACAATCCCAAAACTATAAATATCTGCAGCTTGAGTGTATGGCTTTCCATTTAGCACCTCTGGACTAATATAAGGAAGGACTCTGTAAATTTCTTGATCAGATTTTTTAATATCTGCTGGGCCGATGAGTCCAAAATCGGCGACCATAGTTCTAGGAGCATAATTTATTAATATATTCTCAGGGTGAAAGTCATGATGTACAAATCCCTTGAATTTTTCTCAGATCAGCGATAATATTATATAAATATCTTAATTTTTTTCTCCAAGTCAATTTTTCATATCGGTATTAGGAATTAATGTCACCATTTTCTGCATAATCCATTATTCGTTAGTAGCTGGATTCTGTGTTATTCCGTAATAACTTAGATTACTCCAAAGCACATTAGAGCAGTCTGAATCTAATTTGAAAGATTTAATTATATTGAAAACAAAAAAAGCAAATATGCTTGCACAATAAAAGATGTTCATTTTACATGTACCTCGTTTATAAACTCGGATGTAATTTGCTTTGAATTGTGTAATGATTTCAACACTACTCATCTCGTATAAATTTATTTTCTTCATGATCCCACCCGTTGTAATAGTGCAACCATGCTTTAAGTTGATCCAAAACCTCCTTTTGCAAGGTATTCAATATTGGTAATCCTCTCAAAAGAAATCCATTCAAAAGAGCATAATTTTATTAGATTGTCGATATCTTTATTTTCGCAAGACTATTCAACTTTATAAATTCGAAAATGATATTTAAAGCATACCAGCAGTACTCATTTTCTTGACAACGAGTGCATTTACTACAATGAGTATAACAACAATTTGAACAGTTATAGCAGTAATAATTATATCTACAATCGAAACATTTATTACAATTATGAGTATTTGATTCATCTTACAAGTTAAAATATTTTTAGTGATTCTATGTGGATATTCATGTTATTTAAAACTTTAAAATATATTAGTGTAAGGTTAATCACCAATCGTTGCTATCGCTACTTCTGTGTGTAAATTGATTGCTTTGATACACGCGTTTATCATTCAACAAATTTATTGAGTACTGTTACCATTTTCAACAAAAATTTCATAATTCGATAATTTTATAATGTCATAAATTATGGTGTATCATAATTTCACCCTATGATATTCATATTAATTTGATACTTATTGATGTTATACAAGCAAGTTTTGTATTTATTTGATATTACACAATCAAATTTGACATTACACAATCATATTTCATGAATATCACTTTCCTTTGACTGATAATTAAATTAATTATCAATAAATTACATTTTCATATACTTTAAAATTTACGTATTTTTACTTTCTCTCCATTCTTTTTACTTTTTTTTTGTATTTTTCTTCTAATGCTATTGGTATATCTTATCCCTAACAAAAATATTCTTAATTTGAATTTCATTATCTTTAACCAATTATATTTTATTTCTCATTTATATTTTATTTTCATTACTATTTTTATTTTTATTTTTAATATTATCTCTTATGATTTATCTTGTATTGTTCAATTTTTTTAAAATCTTTCTTTTTATTGTGCTCTTATGATTTCTCTTATCTTTAATTATTCAAATTCATATTAATTTTATCTTGTATTTTCTTTTCTCTTATCTTGTATAATTTCTTATTTAATTTTTGATTATCATTATTAATCATGTAAATTAAAGTAATTATTGAAAATGTATAAAAGAAGAGCCTCTTATTACTAAAAACTCTCATGCTCTGCTCTAATAAAAAAATAATAAAGTTCTTACTTGTAATATTATACTTGTAAATACATTAAAATTTTTTTGATCACCTTCAAATCATGACTCCAAGTAGTAGATGCTCCTCCATTTTAAATAAGTCATTGATTTTAATATTTTTGTTTATTTTGATTTTATTATTTTTAGACCATATCAATAAGTCTTGTTATTTTATTTTGTTTATTGACAGTTTCAATAAGTTCAATTAATCTTAGACAGTCTCAATTTGTTCTGTTATTTTCTTAAATAGTTATTCTACTTTTATTTTAATTTCTTTTATTTCTTTTATTTAATTATTCTCTTTGCCTCTATTTTATCTTTGATATTAAGTTAGTTTGTGTACAAGCTACCATAGGAGATTTTTAAAACCTTTAATGAATTTCATTAATTATAAATTATTCAGTCTTTGTTCTTGCACTACTATGTTACTTCATTAATTTATTAATTTTAACAATTCCTGAATTAATGAGAACAGTACAAACTTTAATTAAGGTTAATAGCGATGGTAAAACAGAATTCACTAAATTATTCAATGTAGTCTGACTACAAATAATAACTTTTAATTCTCTTTTAAATTTCTTTTTGAGTAGACATAGCATTATTAATACTGATTACGTAGTAATTAAATATTACTGCATGTATATATTAATTTAATGAAAGCAGTAAACAATAAAATAAATATATTCTTATAGAAATTACAAATCAATCTTCATTGAATTTATAAAATTTACTTAAACCTAAATTTTGTTAAAATAAAATTGATATATTTGGAGTTGTGAAAGTGCACAGAATTATGCTTAAATTTTATTAGATTAGAAGTTTATTTCTTGCGCTAGAAAATAAGTTTACAATAAATTACGTAATGGTAAATGCATTTTATACATGCTCCAAGTTCACCTAATAACTTTTCCACACATCGTAATTCTTGTATATCATTATCTAAATGTGCAATAGTCAATACTATTTCCAAGTGCTCGTTCTTGGAACGACAGGCTTCTTGGCAATTCTCTTATTACATTCGTACGTCTAAAGAATTAGAAAAAGACGAGTGTAAATTAATCTTTTTAATTACGTTGTGAATTTTGATATTATCAGTAATCGCAGTTGTCACAGATATTCACGAACCCCGTAAAATGCTCCTTAGTTGATGAAAAAGCCGACGTTTTCGTCAATGCAACAATTGATTACCAGAATACCGTAGGGCATGCATGCTCTCTAAACTGTACCCCAAAATCTGCATATATTTAAACATCCATTATTTGGGTAAGCTTGTGAATAGATCAATTCAATAATTCCTTATGCTATATATTTTTATTGCTTATAATTCTTAGGCATATGGTAAGAATAGTTCGAATATCGTGATCGAAAGCTCACTCCAAATAAACCACCAAAATATATCGCATGGAGAGTTGGCGATGATAAAAAGTTAAATGAAAATATTTATTGTGGCGAATACTCAATCCGAGGCAGTTTCGATTGTTTGGAAGCAGTTGCAAGGATGGATATACAACTAAAAACAAATTTTATTGTGCACGCACTTCAGTCTTTCGTTCGAATTTACTACTATTTAATTTTTCTTTAGATGACCCGAATCGTTGAACTCGATCATGTAAATTCCTTATGATAGCTAAGCACGAAATTTTTAGGCTGGCAACAGTATTTGTCGATAGCATTGAATTTTGGTGGGCTTCTTTTAAAGCTCGTGAATTTGTTGCTTGCCTCCATGAGAATTATATTCATTAATTATTAGGATAATAACGATGACAAAAGTCGTGAAAATTTCTTATGACACTAATAACATGTTTCAGATTCATAACTTTGACCTAAATAAAGAACAATTTCAATAGTATGTAAAAGATTCCTCACTTATACGGTTATACTATCGATCAATCAACTTGGCATATATAATATACATTTTGTTATTTTTATTCTATTTAACTAAAAGAATCAGGCAATATGAGAACGTGGTTGGAAAATTTCATCCTTCGTGAATAAATTACAAATTATAGTTTACAATTAAAGTTGGAATGTTTTGAAGATACGTAAGTACGTACGTACATAGTTTTAATATGAACAAAAAGCCAACTCAATTATATATAATTCTAGCTAAATTTATAATATTGTTCCAATTTATAATATTGTAACAAGTAATAAAAGGAAAAATTTAATTATTTTGTATACTATATTTAAAATACTAATTTTAAAAGAATTAGAGGTATTTTAATAAAGTAAAAAAAATATGTAATATCTTGATAATTAACAATTAAAATTATAAAAATATTACAAATTGATTTTCATATCTAAATAAATTGAATAATAATATTTCATGTGATTTTGAATATTAAGTATTAAAATATCATTTTGAAATTATTATGTTAGATTTTTATTACTATATATTAAATTTTTATTATTTATATTAAATTTTGGCATATGATAATTCAAGGATGATATTTTAATATCCTAAGATTAAAATCATATAAAAATATTACTATTTATATAGATATGCTAATTGAATTATGATATTTTCACATAATCTCAATTGCAAATATTTTTAAATTGGCAAAAATATAATAACTTTTAGTGTGATATCTCAATAACTAATTATCAGAATTATATGAAAATATCACTATTTGACTTGTTTAGATATAACAAATCAAAAAATTATATTTTTATGTGATTTTAATTACTTGTCATTTCATCATAATCTCTTCTTTATCAAAATACCCTCTTTTTTCTTATATTTAATATTTATTTATTTAATATATAAAATTGCAATAATAATAACTTTTTATCTTGTTTCATTTTAAATAAAAACTTTTAATATATTTTACAAATAAATCATTTCAATTTCAACATATTTTCTACAAACAAATCACTTAAATTTCAAAATGTCAAGTCACAACATATATATATTTTAACAGTCATATTTTGAACATTTAATAACATGCAATCATATTTTTGCAACTTATAAATGATATTAATATGATAGCTTTCAGCAAAACAAAACATTAAATTTATGAGCATTTCACCTTGTCAGACTTAAATGAACATATAAGATTTCCATGTATTTTCTACCAATTTAAAAGATTCAAGTTTAAATTCATATAGGAAAAAGAATAAAGTAGTATGATACAATAAAACAAAGTAAAATAATAAAGTATTTTTTGTGGATCAACTGATACACCAGATGATACAAAACAAATATTAGGATATGTTTCTTGGGTCATTGACTCTAACAATTCATAAATACTCATGTGTTTATGATAAAATCAAATTCCGTAATTTAAGACAGACATTAATTAATATCGATATCAATTTTTTGACAACTCTATAAATTCATCATAACAAATTTTATGTTACGAACGTACAATGTTTATTACTGGTTTTTTTCGTCCATGAATCAATTTAATGACTGGCTTACATTCTTCAAATATTTTAGCTAAACATTATTTTTCCTTTAACATTTTCAAATAAGTGTAAATGTACTTTAGTATTCGAAGAATTTCATACATAAAATACAAATTCTTATCCATTTTTGAGATTAAATTAGCTTTGATTTTTCGATCAGAATATCGATTTCATTTTCAATTGTTTATTTTGAAAATAAAGCTTCAATATTCATATCAATTCCTTATTTTCTGTATAGATTAAAGCGTGATAAAATATTTGTTTAGGTACATCTCCATCAAGTCACTTCACATTTAAATATCTTTCACTAAACAATCTCAATAAAATTTCTAGAACATATCATCTTTCTTTTAGTTGGGTCAGTTTTTAGGGATCACAAGGAGGTAGTTCAGGTTAGGTAAAATAATTAAGGAAATGTGCTCCAATGAATTAGATATTTAAATCGATTTGTGTTAAAAAGAGCCTCCATTCATGCGTGTAAATCAACTCATTATTAAGCTGTTTTACCATTAACATTGGCGTTAATGACTTCTATCTGTATGTGTAAAAAGCTCTTCTGTTAACAACAAGCAAATCGATTTAAATCATTCAATAAATCATAGAATTTTGTTATTTAACCTCAATTATGAGTTAAAGAAGAGTCTTTTATTATTCCAATAATTTGTGACGACAATTTTATTTAGCAAACAATAACGATAATATTAACGAACATTAATCCACATTGCAAATAAACGACAATTCCGCAAACAATGAAAATAAATTTTTCATCAAGTACAATTAAAAAAAGGTTGGCACGAAAAAACTTATGATTTATTCATCTTCGATTCGAAATATGTGTGTAGTGTTTCAGAATTTTAATACATATCGATATAACGATAGGTCGATTATTATGATTTAGCACTTTAACTATGTTAATCTACACTAACGCTAGTGTACGAAATTGGAGAAATATCACCAGTGATATTATATTACTTAACGTTAAGAATTTCATAACAGATCAAAGCGTGTGCTGACATTTGGCAGTAAGCCTTATTACTAAAAATCAACCGCCATTACTTTCCGTTGGAACAGTCCATTAATAAAATATGTGTAAACGCAAAGAAGCTAATAAATAATAGCGACAGAGACCGCTTTTGGTTTTGCGCTTTAACTCGAAACATAGTTGATATTGGAAAGTAGTTACCATTCTCTTCTAACAAAGAGCAGCCTTCTTAGTTTAGCTAGTGTATCATCTTGGATTTGTAGTTTTTCTTACAAGTTACCCAACATCTCTTCGTTCTCTTTGATATGCTGAAATCGAAATCGTTTGGAGGATACATTCGATAAGAATTTTAATAAATCTGAAATATCAATGTGATTTATATTTAGAAATAAAAAATTACCTGTGTCAGTTGGAATTGAAATTAATTTTGTGGTAAAGATTCGACTGGTGTAAACTGTGTTTGAGTGGATTTGTTGTTTTTGGTTCATATTGGTAGAAACGCTTTTCATCTTCTCATCAAGTTCATTTAATTTCTGCTTTTCTAGTTTAATACACTCCTTAATTTCTTTGTCGGTTTTAGGATATTCTAAAGAGCCGTAGTACTGAAAATGCAAAGTATTCGGTTTCCACTTTCCGACATAAATGTATTTGGTATACATGTTAACGTTAATTTCCACATGAAAATCATCCCATAATAATCCTTGTATTTTGAATATCCCGTCGTTCTTCAAAAAGATTAACGCACGTAACGATAGCGATAGCGATAGTCATTACAATAATTAACACAAATCGTGGACAATTGGGAAATATCGAACGATTATTAACATAAGTAACGATAGTGATTAGCAAAGAGAATGCTTATCTCGATAATTGAAAGACGATAAACAATTATTACTTAGTCGTTTCAAGAAAAACTTTAAATGTAAATTACTAAACGTAGGATTAGCGTAGTAATTCAGAATTATATATATAAGCGTCTTCGAGTCGCTGAGAAGATATGCTTTAATCCAATAAAATAACAAGGTTCTTGCTTGTAATAATAATAATATTACTTGTGAATACACTATTATTTCGATATGCTCCTCCACTTAAAATAAGCCGTTGTTTTCGAATTGGTTTTGTTTTCTTTGTACAGGCCGTATCAATAAGTCCTGTTGAAATTAATTTTGTTTTTCTTGGACAGGCCGTATCAATAAGTCCTGCCATATTTGTATCGATTATTGTTAAAATAAATGTTTTATTATAACGATGAATTCTTGTTACAAGGGTGATTTCATTCTATCTACTCTTTCAAACACCTTCTTTTCCTCCTTGTTGTTGAGAGAAGGACAATTTGTGTAAAAGTCGCCACAGTAAGCCTTTAGGACACCCGAAGGAACCCTTCGACCGTAAATAACTCAGTCCAGCGTTCACCTCCGTTGCGGAAAATTCCTTGATCAATCGATTGTTAGAATAAACATAACAATCTGGTGCCCAAACCCATTCGTCGCAAAATAAACCCGTTCAACTAAATATTGAAGGGAACGCAACAGTACTCCGAATTGTATTAAAACAATGCTGAATATGATTTAATTACGTAAGAGGGTATTTCTTTACTTCGGAAAAGAAAAAATAAAATCGAAATGGTTTTCTAAAAAGATTTGCTGTTTTATTTGACCAATCAAGATAGAAATAATAATCGAAATATAGAATTTTCTAACATGAGAGTAATTAAGAAATACAATATTTAATTAGGTAACGTTAACTCTAGATGCCGAT